CTGAGCGGCAGGGAGCCCTTCCGCACCAAGCCCACCGCGGCCTGCCAGGGGACACGGCGCAGGAACGTTATTAGCAGTCGCTGGAAAACACTGAAACAGCTCCTGTAATTATTCTCCAAAAGTATTCATGATGTTCATTTGGGAAAGAGAGAACGTATTACCGAATGTATGGTGTTTTTTCATCTTAATTCCTCCAAGGAGTTGCTTATAAAAAAAAAAGATTTTCTCAAGTAATTGAATATATTCACAGATGCGCAACATAGAGCAATAGAAGAAAATCAGTTGTTACATAGAGTCTAAAAAAGAATTTGAAATATTTTATGCCCAAAGGCTATTCTACAAATCCAAAATAAATCTTTTCTAAAAGTAGCTAAAATCATTGTGGAAAGAAGTTTCAACTACATCCTACCACAACAACATAACACACTGTTTCCTTCTCCATTCTTTCAACAGCAGTCCTAATTGGCCTGTATACATGATTAGTATGGATTTCTTTCCCTCCTTGAAATACTTGAACTTTGATAAAAAATTTTAGAATGCCTGATTTCAAAACTTATAAAGTACAACTGTCTTAGAATATTTAACAAAGTTAAATTTACTAAGTTGCAAAGAAAAGTTATAGTACCTAGTGATGTTACAGCATAGTAATGCCTTTATTATTGTAGCAAAAGTAAAAAAATCTTAATTCATAAATAATCAAAACAATTAAAAATGGACAAAGGATACTTGCTGAAGACCTCATATTTTTATGATACAGCAGTCCAATTGCATTTTAAGCTGTTTTTAGAAACACATTCTCTGTCTCAGAAAGACAGTGGTTGTAAATTTGCCTGCCATTTCTAACTACAGTTTGCCTTATGCTGAAGAAAATTATAATATCCACATCTATTAGATAGACAGTGTTCAGGATTCCAGCAATAAAGGAATGCATTTTGGAACTGGACACAGCTGCCTGTTTCTGCAGTAATTCTGATTCCTATCACTCGTCTTCACAACAATAAAATAAAATCCTGCAGTGACATTCATTTCTGTCTAGGATCCACACAGTTGGGTGTGGGGTCATCTCCAGAGAACTTCTCTGTGCTTCAATTAACCAGCCTGCTTCACAAAGCACAATATCACAAGGAACAGAGAAGGCATAAAGACACCCACATATTCTTGTTTCACTGACAATCCTTTCAAAAACATCAGACAATAGAATTGTTGACCGTGTCAATTTCCATGGAAAAAGATGCTTATCATTTAGAAAGCTGCCACTGAACAAATATCCAAAGATTCCACAGCAAGTGGGATATTAAAGACCAAAAGTTGCAGCATTTGGTTGTATACAATCAAATCTATAAAGAAAATTACAACAAAAAAGATACTGTCACAAGGTGTCGTCTGTCAGGCAGTGTTTGGCAGCTCCCATGAGACTGCAGTACAATACCTGAATGGATGAACAGGGCTTTGAATGAAAAACTATCCTCTGAGCCACCCTGGGCACCCTCAGTCATCTGCTTTGTCCCACCCTGATATCAGGTACAACAGAGCCACAAATACTGCACTGTAAGGAGCACCACTGCCCAAAAATGTACACACAATTCTACCCACCACCTAACGCCAAAGCAAGCACTCAAACCTTTTACAGCAAAGCAAGAGTCAGGGTTTAAGGGAGAAAACGCAAAGCACAAGGTGAAATGTTTTTTTTAAGAACACCAGATGATAGGAACACAGCAATCCTAATTAAAAATACTTGCATGCTTGAGTAGTTTTTAAACAAGTCAATTTCTAGATTAAAATGTCACACAACAAAAAACACTTTACACTTCTATAATTCCTTATTCACAGTTCCAAAATAATTCTTAAAAAACCAAAAATAATTGATAGTATTCAGCCTTTGAATTTATCCAGGAGGGGATATCAAATACAACATTATTTCCCCAAATGAGGTTTGTTTTTTTTTTCCTTGCTGAAGCATTTCCTCCTCAGAGCTGGGCAGTTGTGTTTGTCTGCTCTCTGGCAGCTGTGCTGAGGCTGCAGCCCCTGTGCCCTGCACAAAGGCACCTTTCCCTGCTCCAAGGGCTGCCCTCCGTGCTGCGCGCGGCTCCCTCGGCGGCTCCGAGCTCCGCGCACGCCTGCTCGCCGAGCAGATGTCACCAGAGTCCCCTCTGCACACAGCAAGTGTGTGTGTGTGCGTGTGGGGAGGGGAAATGTTCTCAGCACAAGAGCACAAATGCTGCTAGGAGATTTTTATAAGCCTTTCTACTGCCCTTTGCATCCAAAGAAACAAACAATTTGCAAAGAGAGATTTCAAGTAAGTACTAAATGTTCCAGTTAAGGTTCAAGTGTTGAACAGATTTTCTCAGGAATTATTCAACATATGAATATTAAGAGCTTTCAAATCCTAACAAAGGCTGTAATGTGAAAATAGTACTTTAAACAGATGGAAAAAAATTAAAATTATGTTATTAAGACATATCTGACAAAGCTTCGGAATATACATCTGGGTGTTCATGTGTCATACCAACTGCCTCTGATAACCAGTGCTTTATCAGTTACATTTAAATTAAAATTCTTGTTAGGATCACTAAAGTAATTAACTGTGTTTATGCAGAAACACCAGTGAACTCTGTTGTAACTTCTATAACACATGCAGGAGTTCAACTTTTAACACCATGCACCCTCTTCATCCTGCAACAAGCAAGGGTGGATATGAAAACTTTTTAATCTCAAATTTGACACTAAATCCACCCCAAGCAAACACTAGTGGATGCCAGTGCTTCCCAAGTTCCAGCCTCCGTAAGCAGTGGCAGACATAGTGCCTTGCCCTTCTTTTCATCTCAAAAAAGCAAATAAAGGTAATCAAGGCACAGTCATTTTGAAGCTGCAATGGAAGTAAAAAACCAAAAAGCATTTGGGAATGAATACAGTGGTAGTGGGGCATTCCAATGTGCTGGAAAGCCTACCCCGTACCAAGGATCACTAGAGAGAATTTTTCATATCACCACATCCCACCTCTTTTGCTCCATACACATCTATGTTTAACAGAGAAATATAGGTGAGTGTATCATATAGGGATAGCAAAGCACATTGCTACTCATATTTCCAATATTTCTTTCTTCCCTTTGTATATGCAGGCATATGTCCAAGGAGCAACAGCAAAAAAATATGTATTTGCGCCTACAATAACTCATGCACTCAATTTCTATTACACGGCTTAAGCTCCCCAAAACACTTAAACTTACCCTAAGTACTACAAAGGAAGTAATATACCTCTGATCCATTGGAAAGAAAAGACATACAGAATATATTTGAAGAAACTCAGCTGGTGATATTCTGTCCAAACAACCAATATGACTATTTTCTACTAGGATTTATCTTACTGGTAAAGAGACAATACAATAAAGGAGTCAAGTTATGCATCTGATATACTGAAAAGTGAATGCATTCAACATTCATCACCAATTCTGAAATATTTCAGAATAATATCAGATTATCTTCATGCAAACTTCAGATAGTCCTGAGCACTCTCTACCCTGGCTCTACCCAAAACTTCCCTGCCTGTCCATGTGCTCAATGCACCTTTGTCCAACTTCTCCTTTAAAGAGCTGACCATAAAGTGCAGGCAAGATTCTGGTGTAATTTCTTCAGCATGGAACTCACCCCTCACAGAAATCCTAACTAAGCTGTCCTGTGACAATGGCTAAAAAATCTTTTCGGAAGTACTTTAAGGTTTAGCTGATTCCCACCCTTCACCCATTCTCTCATCTTCTTCCTTTTCTTTTTTAAGAGGTAGCCTGGAGATTTAGATTTCTTTAGGAGCTAGGGTTGTGTAAGTAACAGCAATTTGTATTTCTAGAGTCAAGAAGTTCTATCCATTATTTTAAACGGTAAAAGTTTTAACTAAAATTTTTCACTTGTTCCTACCCAAGCATAGTTTACACATGCTGCTAACAAGTGTAAACAGGGAAAGGAGAGAAGCATTAATGGGATAAAATGCAGATGTATCAGTCTAGCTTTTATAAATACAGCAGTAGGAAGAAAATCAGCGGTGGCATTTTGGGCATAAGCAAATACTTTTCTTTTAAACAAGTGTTATTACTAGAAAATTGCAACCACTATTATGAAAACTGTGAAGATACACACACTAAATTATACAACAACACTTTTTTGCAAAAACCCTTGAGAGTCCTCTTTACTTGCAAGTGTATTTAAACTTGCCAGTTCTAAACATACTTCTGACAAAAGTCATCTTGCCCAGAACTAGAACTGACAAATAAGTGAGAGATTTCAATATTAGAGACTAACATGCTCATTTCCCACTTGATTGAAATAGAAATTTGCTGGACAAATGTTAACCATTTAAGCTTACTAGGCATCTTCCAAATCTCATGCAGGAAAAATAAGCAAAACATGCTATGTAATAACTTGTAAAAGGTACTCTGTCATCCACTGTAGTATTTTCTCCCCTAAAAATAGTACCATGTCCCTAAAAACTAATTCTAAACACCTTGAAATGGAGGCAGAACCTCATATCAGAATATTAACTGCTCACACAAAGAGAAAGCAGTTTCTTTAATGGAAAATTACTGGAGAAACTGTAGAAGGTAAACATTAAAAGCCTTTTTCATCCTCTGAGAAACTGGATTACAATATGTTGAGAATTTGAAGAAAGACAGCAGTGAGAACTCTGTTCCCTTAAAGTTGGCTCATTTCACTGTTGTCTGGTGTTACTACTTTGAACATTTCTCTCAAACCTAGGCAGGCAGTTCATCCTGTCACTGCCTCCCTGACTGGTGGCTGGAGTACCTGCCTCTCTGCCCATTTCAGTGCCAACTTCAAGTCTGTTGAAGGTGGATTCAGCTCCATGATGTAAATTGTTTATAAAGACATTTAACACTATTGGCTATACTACCAACTTCTTGGGAACTCCACATTACAACCAGTCTGACTTGGAGCCAATACCCCCACTGTTTGAACTGCAGCCACTTTTCGTCCTATCTGGCGTTTTTTCACCTATCTGGTTTGTATCTCACTTTTTCAAGAAAAAAAATTGAGGTAGACTGTGATGAACACCTTGCTAAAATAAAAGGTAGGCGACGTTATCCTTTATCCTCGGATTTCTGCTTGCCACTAACTTAGAAATTTCTTGCTCATAACACCTTCTGCCACTCTAGCACCAGGCTTGCTTTTGCATTCCCAAGAGAACCTCTGCATGTCCAAGAAGTATCTATGTATTTCTTTCTGGGAATTGTTCTGCCCCCTTTCATTTTTGAACTTGAGTTCTTTCAGCAGCAAATTTAAATAAGACTGTGTAAAAACATTTAAGTGTTTGTTCTTATGTCTATTCCCATTCCCACTTAGGAGAATGGACTACTCTGTACTGCAGGAAGGCTGTCTCTGAAAATGTTTTAGTACTCTTCCAAGCAGCAAGTTTATTCCCCAAGGAAGTCTCCCACGGGATCCTTACCAGGAGTTCCCTGATCAAGCTCAGCAATAGGCCAAATTCATTCATTAGATGATAGAGAGGTAGATACCAAAACAGAAAATATTTTACTTGATTTAATAAAATTCAAAGGAAGGAGCAAGTATTTGTCCACATTTAAGTCCCAAGTGCTACATTTTCTGATAAATCACTGTGCAATCAAATCCAAATGAGGGAGAATTCACCTTAAAAAAGCATGCCAAGGGCCTCTAAGTTTCAAGCGAGAAGCACGAAGTAGTACAGAATAGAAAATATGCACAAAAATATAACTTGATCTGGATGTCCTCTCTTTGTAAGCTATTCAACATCAGTCAGATCACTAAGAAATGTCAGTGCAAAATAATAAATCTAAGCAATTGAGTGACAGCCAAGCAGTCATACATTACTTTTAGACATAATAGGATATTAATCATTTAAAGCATGCTAACATTAACAAGCTATTTTTTAACAAATTGAACTCAATTAAAAGAGAAACATGGTGGAGTAAAAAAAAAAAAAAAAATCATTATTTTCTTACTCTCCCCAAAGATTCCTTTTACTAAAATTCAGAAAGAAACCTTTATCTTCTTCAAATGATAAAGCTTTTCAGCAGGACACAATACACAAAAGCAGAACTTCTGTTAAACAGTGCTCTCTTGTGGTTCTGTGCATCAGTGAAAGACTAAATCATTGTATAAAGGTAGGCACAGTCTGAAATTTCTTGTTGCCAAGTCTAACCCAAAATTAATCCCTCAGACTTGGATTTAATTTAGTTCTGCATTTAGTTTTTCTAGCATGTTAATAATCTCACATCCAAAGACCACCTTTAGATACTGAATTCAAAGGAAAGCAAGAAATTAAATTTAAAAATATGGATAACAAAAATGTTAACCTTTATCTTTTATTGGAATTCACAACTGACAATATGTGCAATACCAGGATAGCAGTTAATGCATCAATTCTCACAAATTCTATAGGCACAATTTCTGCCTGTCATGGTATATACATATGTTATTCAAATATGTAGCCCAGGTCTCGTTGCTTAAACAAAATACTGCACAATTTTTAAAACAAAAATCTTACTTTAACTTGCTGGGAACAATATTTAGACTGCTCCCCATGTCCACTTTTTTCAACAATATAGTGTAAAGAGCAAACTACTCATTATCTCATGTAACTAAAATATTTAAAATTAACAGGAATAATTAACCCAAATTACTAGTTATAATAAAGTGAGACCACCTTCTCATATTTAAATATAGAAAGTATTCATCTAAAAGAACAAAAATATGCTTTCAAGACCAATTAATAGAAGACGTTGGCGCTACCTTTTCAAAATAAGACAGCTACTTTTGATTAAAAAATTTAAAAGGAGTGCATCGTTCAATTTCTACAGTTATTTTCTAGCTAAAGTTTTTTAAAGCAATTACTTCACTTTTATTTTCCTTTTATTTCAAGCCTCATAATATATTAACAACAGGGTTATCGGGGTTGTTATGTCTGTATTTTAAAGAGAAGGGAAGCAGACGTGACTGACCTGTTCACTCCTGCCAAAGCTGTTGGATTTCACCATGTCGGGCGCAGCCGTGCCCTGGGCTCGGGCGAGCTCCTGGGGGGCGCTCTGGGAGCTGGGCAGGGGTGGCAGCGGCGCCCGGCGCTTCTTGGGCATCTCGGGCGGCAGCGTGCTGCAGTCGTACTGCCTGCTGCCAGCGCTGCCCCTCGCGAGCAACGCCGGCCTCGGCTTGCTCATCAGGGGAGTTGCTGGGGCACTGGCAGCCTTGAGGTGTGGGAAATAAAAAGAAACCCAAGTTGCAGATATTTTCTGGAAAATAATCAACAGTATTGATTGCTCAGTCTGAATATGCTTCTAGAAGTTTTCCTTATGCAAAGTTACACCTTACTTGTTCTCTTTTCTTCTTGTTTCGTTGGAAAAAGCTGAAAAATCCTTTGTTTTCTTTCTCCTTCAGAACATCTATGTTTTCAGATTGGTAGGACCCTAAAATAGAAAACAATAGTACAAGACATTACTTCATGCAGAGATTATTTTTCCTACATTCTTACTATTTCACCATGTGACAAACCTCCTGCAATGATACATCAAACACATCATAAATCATCTATATTAATATTTTTTCTAGATGTGGCAAAATGAACAGTTTGCCTAGCATCCATATTCTTCCTCTCCTTCTCAGAACCCAGGGCAGTTGAGTTTCGGCTGCTCTTAATACCAGCACATAATCCAGCCCACCCCACTTGTCATATGCTATGGTTCATATCACAAAGGTAGTAAAAGGGGAAAAGAGCATCAGACTTTTCAGCTCTCCATTCCTACTGGCTTAAATTTATGGCAAAGTGGCAAAATGTGATGTGGGACAAGCCAGGCCCCAGCCTGCACACGGTGTAACTGTGGAGAAAGATCCCCCAAACACTCAATCAGTGTTTGAGTCGCAGTTTCTATAACTGCGTGGCAGTTATAGTAACAACAGTCAAATCAATTCTCGTTATCTTGCAAAATTTATCCTCCTTAAATTGATTTATTCATACAAAGGATTTGTAAATCTCTTTAATGACTTCTTTTTAATTTTACTAGAATGAACTTTCTGAAAGAAATCTCATTGAACGCACATGTAATGAGCAACAGAAATCTGCAAGTCTGGTAAAAGTATCAACATAAACATGACCCTAAATTGAACAAATTGATCTAGGGTAAAAACTATACAAAAGTACTTTCTATATAGCTGTGTCTATCCAATTCTGCACTATCATTTGCAATATGCATTTAAGATAGGACAGAGATATTACTCATGTCACAGTTAAGAAGATGTTGTAGTAGGAGCAGGTGCTAATGTCCCATAAGTGCTAAGTTTCACTGCCTATTTCAATAAACCATACCTTGAAAAGTTGGTAAATTTAAATCAACTGGTGATGTGGCTACAGAAAGACAAAAAGAAAGACAGAAAATGTGAATCTGAATCAAGGCTGTAGTAACAAGATATAAACACAGAAAGCCAAGCTGGATCTTCAGCATTGGTGAAAAATTAACTGGGTACTTTGCAGAAGCAAAAGGATGTTCATCTTTACTGCCTAATACTTAAATCATTCTAGAACTTGAGCCTGAAGACATGCAACACAGACTGCAACTGTGTACATAAGCAGGGAGGCTTCACTTATATTTCTGACGCAAAGAGAAAAATCAGTATGTAGAATAGTTTGCTCTGATTTGGATGGTTAAACAGTCCAAACTTGGAAAACAAAGACAAATATTAAATTAAAACAAAAAATTAATAAAATTTCAACTTAAATTCTATAAAGTAAAATATACATTTTACTTAATAGAATTTACTCACCATTTACTTTCATGAGGATAAAAATGGAAAATTCAGAGTTTGAACCTGCCTGCAAAACTGAAATGCTGAACTACTTCATATTAAAAGAACTGAAGAACATCTAAATTTCTGTGTGGAAAGTATATATGCCCTGGGGTATGCCCACCTAAGGATTTTTGGCTCGTGCTTCAAGTAAAACACACATCATATCATGCAAAAAGCAGCTTTTCCAGTCTGTAGATGAAAGCAGTAAATAACCAGACAAAAAACAAATCATGCATTTGGGAGCACACACAATCAAAGTAACACATTTTGGCAAATAAAAATATGTTGGTTTCCAGTGTGGAAGAGAAAGATGTTTAATTTTTGTTTTCTCTATGGAAAAATGAAATCCTGTCCAAATTTGTCATTCTGACCTTCAGCAAGTAAACTGAGAAAACTCCTGGAACTGTAACCACCAAACAGTAAAGTTACCATATTTAGGTAGAAAGAGGGGCAAAGACAAACAAAACCCCAACAAGCCCCACAAGTTTTATGCAGAAATAAAATCAAGCAAATAAAACAGTGGCCAATACCAGGAGTGAGTCAATCAATATTATTGCTTTCCACATTGAGGTAAAATTTCCTGTGAGAAACGTCTGAAATGGAACAAACCACACTGCACAAAATTTTTAATTACAGTATAGTAAACCTGTCACCTGTTCAGATGAAGTTAAATTCTGGCCTAGGAATATCTGTACAAAATATTGGAAAGTTAGTACATTGTGTCCCTGCTGGACCAGAATTGAAAAGACAATTATTATTCCTTCACAATGTATAAAATTAGCAAGCAGCACTTAGAAATAGACATAAAGACCATCTGAATACTCCAATGCTTTCAGGATTTTTTAATTATTTAAAAGAAAATTAGTTTTCTCTAACATTTGTTCTTTTCAGGCCATCATGATGTCATGTAGGAGCTAAGGGAAGCAGGGTGTTGTTGGAGTTTTTGGGGAAGGTGTGAGGAAAGGAAAAGAAAACTTTACATTTAAGTCAGGATCTGTACTCAGCTAACTCTGCTGGTAGTGAACACTTGGTTAGAAAATAAAACTTTTATACAGAACTTCTGAAAACAAAAGTCCAAGTACACACAAGTCAGTTTCAATTTAATGGAAAACCACAGAAATATATACTAAATTTCTAGAAAATATTTTCCTAAGTAAAAAACCCAACAACATGTATACAACTATTAAGTAATTATATTTTCTATAACAGCAATTCACAAAAGTTATCTTACCTTGACTGACATCCATGGCATACAGTTCTCTTAGTCCAAGGTCATTAAGAGATTTTGTCATATCAAGGGGTTCTTGAGACTGGTAACTCCTCAGTAGCAGAGTATGTGAAGGATCAAACTCACATTTGCTGCATATAATTGATATGAGTTCTTGAAGTGGTGAATGTGGACTAACTCTTACTACTGTTTTCTGTGTCTTCTTGTAGTTTATCACTACCCTTACTGTTTGCTAAAGAGAAGAAAAATCCAATAAATACCAGCACAAATTCTGAAAGAAATGGCATTTTTACAACAGCCTCACAACAATCACCAGAATTCCACGTATGGCCAACTTGACCAGTGCTGTGGGTTCAGAAACATTACATAAGAAATTAAGAACTATTTTTCTACTCCTTTCCATGCCAGAAAAGGACACATTTAGCAGACAGCTTTCTCCCTTAGCAGCAGGGTAGGTGGCTGGAGGGTTACACTGGGCAGCTGCAGAATCAGGTGATGCCCCACAAGCGTGAACACGGGTGTAGGAGGAAAGCAGAAGAGCCCTCCTGGCCCTCTGCAAGTTCTTTAGATAAATTAAAAGTCAGTATTCTTCTACACAGCACAACGATAAAGTTGGAAGGAAAAGATTTAAGGCAACACCCAGAAATTAGTTTAGTACTCCTTAAATCTCCTGCCCTCTTCAGGGTATATAAAAAAAAACCAAGAGGGAATAATATGTATTGAAGGAAATGAACATACAATCAGAAGGGTACATATATCACAGCAGGACAGATGGTACAAGATGTTGATTATCAATTTGTTCAAGGCTGTCCTCAGCCACACTTCATCTGCAGAATTTTTCAAAAGGCCAATGAAGCATGGGATTTCAAATAATATTGCATGATTTCCTTCTTTCAGCAGCAAAGATATTTGCTACAACAAATTGAGATGCATTTTACCTAAGAGAAGCTTATCAAAAACAGACTAAAGCATTTCACAGAGCTTCAAGGTGAGAGGATGAAACAGGAAACACTGAAACAAAAGAATGAGCTACCAGCTCAATTTGTTGAATACAGCAGTAATTCTAATTTCTCAATATGCTTAATTTGAGTTCTCACCTCTGGTATAACTGGAGCAGGTTTCTTCTTATCCATTTGTTTTGCCTTTACAATCACCTTTTCTACTTCAAGCATTCCCACTGGTGTGTTGGGTTTGAATTTAATCTGGGTATTTTCTGCTGATACCAACTCTATGGTATAACTTGATGGATTTAAATGATACTGTGCACAGAGAAAGATCAGCAAGTCCATCATGGGCTTCCTGTAAAAGACAAATGGAACTGTCACAACAGATGACAATTAAGCAGGCTATAACAAGATGTGCTGCTTAAACAAACATTTAATTCAAGTCATCCTTTCCCTTCCAAGACGAAATAATTACTGCTAGACACCAACTTTAAATATCTTCAAGCTTTAAAAAACACAATTTTAAAAAAAAAGCCTACCCCCAGAAGAGCCACTAAAAAGAAAATGAAAACCAGTTGCGCAAAAGCATGCCAAGTACTTGAACAGAGTGGGAGCGTCTTGTTGTGGGAAGCTTCTCCTGAGGTCAACTGAAACATGTGGATTACTTACCTCATTTGACATTTAGTGGGAACTTCTAACAGTGGTGATAAATAGTTTGTTATTCATTGAGAACAGTTATTTTGCAAAGCTTGGCATTTTTATATCCATTTTGAGTTACAAGGGACTTTATTTTCAGAAACTCTGTGCATTAGCCACTTGGAGGATGCAGGAGAAATGAAGTTTGAGAAAGTCACATTTTAAGCAGGTTGTGCATTAGGGATTCTAGAACTATCTAGGTGCTTAATACCAACAGCAATAAATAAGGCAAATGACAATATATTAGGCAAATGCCATTTCTTGAGAAGCTCTGTGTGATGCAAGATGTCCTTCCCACAATGAAGAATGCCAACAGAATTTGTCACGTGTAGTCAGTACCTGTGTGTCCTTGTTCCCTCAGTGCTTAATGAAGAACATGCTGAGTAGGGTATTAAGACGGGCTGAGTATTTCCAGTCACTACTAAAATACATTTAATAAAGTTGTACTGTAAACAGAAATGTTATAGATGTTTAAATAGACCAAAAGTAAGGAGAATGTACCAACTCTGCATGTTATGGAACTGAATTAGGTTATAGCATTATCAGATCATTCCTCAATAATTTTTTTATTTGGGTAAGGACAATTTCATTGCGACACCCTCTGCATCTTTCAGTTACAACTATGAACAAGGAAATCCATCACCTGCTCTGTCTCACAAGGATATTATGAAAATAAAAGTCTGAAGCAATCAAATAGTATGTTGAAAAAATGCTGAAGTGTCTCTGAGAAAATTAATGCAGGGTTAGGCTGGTATGGCTCTATCAGAAATCTTAAATTCTAGATGTAATCTCATAATTGAGGCAAGTATTCTGGTAGCCCAGCCAAATGTGGAAATAGCTTCTACAAAGAACCATCAGATGAAGCAGAATTCTAGATAACAAAGATCATTAATATATTTATTAAGTAGTAATTTAAAGGAGACTTTTCATATTATACAGTTCTGTAAAAATAATTAAGAATGACTCAGTGTTAGAAGTTATTGTAAACACTGAATTTTTCCCCTTTGATTTACCCTAGAATATCATTCCCACTTCCCTTCATCTTAAAGGACAAATTTCCCATAAGCTGTCTTCTAATTTCTGGCAGCAGGGCTGGACTCTTTGGCCACTCTCATATATTACGCTTCCAGAAGATAACTGTTTGAAAGCTGACAGATATTTCCTTTCTAGAGAAAAACTTCTGCTTGCTTAAGTGGCAGGAGAGCACTTGCCTAAAGAGACAAAGGCAGGAGGAACAATAAAATAAAAAAGCCATACTCCAATGTGTGAAAAGGCAGTTATCAGATGGTCTGAAGCGGTATAGGAGAAAGCAATATACTCCCATCCTTTCCTCTAGATGATATATAACAGCCTGAGAAATACCATGCAAAATGAAGAATAGTAACTGCTCCTCCCTTTTCACACTGCTAAACCAGAAAGTTTATTTCAATGCATCTCCTGTATGCAGCACAACCTGCTTCAGTTACAAGACACAAGGAGGGAATACTTTATTTCTTTTACTTCTAATCCCTAATAAAACAAGTACATGCATCTCACAGTAAGAAGAAAAGGGCTGCAAATGCAAATCTCGTCATTCCCCCATCTTGCTGGGGGCAGAGCAGGGCAGGGCCAGGGAGGAGGGAGCCAGAGGAGAAGCAGACACTGCTTCTGCAGTGACCTTTCTGCTTGCCAGTGTATCCAATAAGTTACCTGTTACCTTTTTTCTGGTGAATTTTTATACACTGACTGGCTTTAAAAGCTGCACTTCAGTTATTGGAGAGGAGTAAGAATATCAAAGATGACCAGAGCAAGAGCTGACAAGCAAGGACCCCAGAAAGCCATCCTACAGAAACACACCACAGCGACAGGGGCACACCCTCAAGTTAACCAGAGTCACAGTCAGTGACTGGTCAGTGAGAATGATAAGTGAGAAACAGCTGCTAACAAACAACAGGTTAGTATGGGAGAACAGTGATTCAGTGCAAATTTGCTCTCCAAAGGTACTTCCAGAAACAACCTGCTTGACTGGAGGATGATGGATTTCTAAGTCCCCTCCACTCCACTGGAGGCAAGATATCTTCACCAGCAGCTTTAGAAAGATATTCCTTCAGCAATAAAAAAAAAACCAACAAGGTTTTCTTGTCACCATGTCCTCCAAAACTTGTAAAACTCTTTTTCCCTAAAGCCTTCAAGGATTAAAGGTGGAAGAATACATATATCACAGTACATTTAACAGCTTCCATAATTAATGTTTAGCAAAGCACCAAGAGGAGGCCATCAGCTACCTCAGAGTACACAGTCTGCTTGTCCTCCTTTATCTAACTCAGTAAAATATTTATTTGCAACTTAAATTCATCAAATTACTCAAGGTTTTCTGGAAATCTCAGAGCATAAATGTATTTAAGTATTCCAACTTCTACATAATCAGGATTTTTATTTCACTAACACCCTGCTTTGTGTTACACAGCTTGCTACCCACTATGCCAAAGCAGGGAGCAAACCAACCCCACCTAATCTGATAAAGAAAAGTTTCTTCTGGTGGACTATGGAATTTGAGCACACAGCTGTTAAATCTCACCATTTTGCTTTTTCTACTATGAAATTTAAAAGGTGCTCTCTCCTCAAGACCTTCAGAGCTGCTCACCTCCACTTATGAATGACAAAAGAAGCAAAGTAGCAATTTTTCTGTTTATGTCATTTCTAGAGGGGTTATGCCTATTTGATCACGATAAATAACTCCAAAGCCAGAGCAAAGCTAGAACAAGAGATAGTTTGAAATATACTTCATGGTGGATTGCAGGTCCTGCACATCTCCCTCCTTCTGAGATGAGCCCAGCAGTGCTAATACAGGCAAGATAGTCACTTATGAAATCAATCACATACAGTATCTTGATTGAAAAATCCTGTAACTGTGGAATCATAAAACTGATTGGGAAATGAGTGCAATTCCTGATAAGCCTGTAAGGCCTGTCTTGAATACTGAGTAATTATACACAATGTAATCTGACCAGGTGAAAACAGATGCAACAACATTCCTTTCTAGCACTTTGTTCTGAGCAAAGCATGAGAGAGGGCCCACGGTACACATCACTCATCCCTGGACAAAAGCAGCAAAAAGAACAAGCTCCTGACAGCGTACACATGGAGCCTCATGTCTAAGAAGGTTTAAAAACAGAGGAAGGCATCATATTTACAGACTGCAATATTCCTTGCTATAAATGTGCTGACAAAACCAGTATAAAGCATCGTTATTTCAGAAAATTTCTTCTGAGAAATAAAATCTCACATTTAAGTTATCCTGAAAATCAGAGTCAGGGGGAGGTGTAAAAAGACCCAGTACAGCTCTGGTGAACAAGCTGATATTTGATGTGTAAGCAACAACCTCATGAACTCCAGCAAATGACAGTGTGCAAAGAGACTCGAGCCAGATTTCATCCCTCATTAGGAAGTAAGCATAAGCACACATTTACAGTACCTGGTTTAAATGAATAAATAAGTCAGCCTGCTTGGTTTCTGTAGGAGAGACATGGGCTATACACTAACACAAGGACAATATACAAATAGGTTGTCTTATTTCAGCTTAGGATAGCAACAAACTGGCATCTAAATTGCTGTGATCCATACACAGCCTTGCACAGGACTCTTCTTAGTAGAGCAACATTACAGGCCTCAGGATTTATGGTTTCAGCTCACCAGTAAATGTGCAGGTCTTTCTGAACAGAAGGTGACTTAAGAGTTACATGCACAATCTATCCTACCAATTACCAGTCTGAAATATGCATTTTAAACTAAAACCAGCTTAAGGAAAACATAACTGTAAAAAGAAATCCAAAGCTGTAGCTATAAATTCTTTTTGAAGCATTACAGATTTTTTCTGGAGTGATTACATATTTTTTGATGACTGCTAGTAGTCTACAGGTAGCAGAGCAAGTGCTGAACACAAAACTTTGTACCCAAATAGGATGAACAATCATGCATTTTACCAAATGATTATAACCTGGATGAAGGTTGGCGTAAACTTGAGCAAAAAATAATATTAAACAAAAATATCATTCTGTGTAACATACCTCCCATTCACTGTGGTGTACTTGATCACATCTCCTGGCAGGACCACTGATAATTCAATATCTTTATCGATTACATTCTCTTTCTGTTCCATTATGAGGTTGGTTGGCTCTGTGTTATCAAATGGAGAAACAGGAATGGATTTTGTTTCAGACGGAGGAGGTGGTGCCTTGGATTTTCTTCTGAAAAACAGATAAAAGTTAAAAATCAAGTATGCATTTAACCACATGATTTCAAACTGACAAACTAACAAGCCTCAAAACAATAACAAACCACACTTCATTATTTTCTAAAGTCATATGTGCAACGAAGGGATAAGATACCTTAAATATACCATCAGCGGTGGCAGAAGACAAAACAGGCTAAGGTATCCCTCACCAAAAAAAAGCACTCAACAAACATCAAGCCAAAAAGAATTCTTTAATGTACCACGAAAGAATAAATTATTTGGCTGTTTTTTCCTCCCTTGGGTTATGCAAAGACCCTATTTGTACATTCTCCAAAGAGATTTACTGGATTAGTATAAACAGAAATATTGCACTATGCAGTATGAAGCCAATTGTACTACCAGTGTGCTTAATACAGGATAGATACTGGAGCAAATAGTGACACTTTTCCTCCCCTTTAATTGATTATTAAATTATTCAAAGAAATTCTACCAGTTCCACACTATTTAACTTCTATACAGTAATAAAATAACAGTATAACCAATTCTACTGTGTTTTAATATTTCCTGACATTTCACTCACAATATGTTTTCACATAATCCCCTCACCTATGGTGATCTATTTTCTATACTCCTTCCCATGTCAATGACCAGACAGTTAACATTTGAATACAAGGACTGATCACTAAATAAGCTGCACTTATTTCACTAAAAAAAGTTCTAAAACAGCATATAATTCTCTATATCTCTTAACATAGGTATGCTACAGCAAATTCTGAATGCAGGACTCTCATGTCCTAAAACATCTAGTCCAATATCTCCCTTTATTTAAATAACTCTCCACAATTAACCAATATATTCAGAAGGAAAAGATACTATTAATTAAGAATTTAACCATTAGAAACAAGACCAAGACATAGTCAAGACACATTACCTCATGACAGATTTTGAATTTCTTGTAAACGTTCTTGAATGGAGCCACATTATCAGGAAGTTAAAATACATTTCAACATAATCTACAAAGGCTCCAAAAATATGCTTATCATTTAGATGGAGCTGTAGCAAAGTTTGTTTACTTTAAGCCAAAGGAAATAAATTAACCCCTACAATTGCCCTGCAGAATTAAAACAAAAAGAACCTAGCATACAACTAGAAACACACGCCTTTCTTGAGAAAACAAAGTTTAAAGTCACTCACAATGAAGAGCAAACAAGGTCCAGAGCAGCATTGCAAAAAAACAACCGTAACAAGGTTTCACATGACTGATCTGTTGCTGAAAGTGCTTAGAGTTTTGAACTTCAGAACTCTGTGCTGAATAATTAACTATTCACAGCCCCTCAGAGCTAATCGGGAGTACTCACAGCCTCCAAAACCATTGAATGGGGAGCCACATTCAAATGTATACCTCCTCTCACAATGACTTAAATTAGTTTGGTGCGCTCTCTATGCAATTCATGAGGTACAACATGAGGTAAAAATTTGACTTTGGTCTCTACAGCAGCTTGTCTGGGCTGTTTCAGGATTACACAAACATTGCAAAATGCATAAAGCAAACTCTTTTGCATTCCTCCCCAGATATAAATTATTAGCAAGTTCAGAGCATCAATACAACTATTAGAAATAAATAAAATCCCACAAGCATAAAAACTTACCCCATGACATTAATACCAAAAAGCCCAACGTGATCTAGTACTGCTTGTCCTCCCTTCTTTACTCTTTCTTACATCTTTAACTTCAAATGACTGTTAAAAGCTATTTATCACAGAGTTTACTCTTTGAAGAAGTGTCACAGAAAGTTTCCTTTTTGAAATGCTAGAGGACTCTATTTTCTATTAAGTAGACAAATGCAATTTTATCACTGGAACTCTCTTATCACCAGAGTACTTAATGACACATAGCAATAAATGTGGTTTATTCATACAGTGTCCAACTAAAACTGACCAAATACTCTTCTCAAAACATGTGTGCAACAGCTGAAGTTCCATATATTTATAAAGAACACACACACACATATACAGTCAGTCTAACACCACTGCTGAAGCCTTGCGTGCCCCACTGCAGAGCCATGTACCCCACCCATTTCTTGGAAATCTGAATGTGCTTTATGGTTACTTATGCTTACCTCTCCCACCCCACACAAAGGAAGAAAAATCCCAAGTGTACTTTCTCAGAAGTCAGGCCAAGTTTTTGGCAACCTCTTATTAAACAACAGGATCCCAATGCTTTCATTTTCTGTTCCCAGACGCCATGTTTCTGTTTCTTCAGTTCTCACTATTTCTCTCATCTCTCCTCAGCCCAAAGTATTTGCAATTGGTCTCATTGCTTTTTCATTATTTCAGCTTGTTTTTCTACCTTATCAGGGGAGCAGCTGCCTGTCAGTCAGGCTGGGCTGCACTCCCAGCCCCAGAACTGGTGCTGGACAGCAAGAACAATTCAGGTGACCGTGACTAAATAAGCAGGTGATGGTGGAAATACACTTGTAGAGGTAGGTTTTACAGACAAACCCTCCTCTCCCTACTCTGCAATTCAAGAAGCCAATGAAAGTGATTTTCTCACCAAGGCATCTTCCATCCCAACATCATTTTACCCCAACACCAAAACCAACTCCAAGTCTATACCACCAATTCAAATACTTGACCACTGCAAGTCTTCAAGATCCAACACTACCTGCTAGGAAATGTTTAGAGACAACTGCAGCATTACTATCTGACCTGCTCCTCATAGTCCAGCACACGGCTGAAGCTGTCAAGGCAAGCCACTCCTATATATTTCAGGCATAAGTATAGATGAAAAATACCTCAAAAATAAATTCTAGTCATCTTCACTAAATTACTACCACACACACACATTTCTATACAAAATTTGGGGTGCCACTAAGTGCTTCAAAAAGGTTATTTTAAATTAGACGTATGGTAGTACTCTGACATTTTCCCTTAACATTCAGCAGCCCAAATATTTGCTGTGCCAGCCCCAGAGCATCTATATAACATGACTACCAGCATTGATACTGGGCTTTCATCTCAACATCAATATCACTGTTTGAGATACAATCTCTCTCTTTATTTCTACTACAAAAGCACCAGTTAGATGTTAAGATCAAAGTATGGATCAATGAGAGTCAAACAATGTCCATTCTTAGGTCATCCCTTCAAGCCAGGCTTATGATACATGTAGGATGATATAAAGGAAAAATATTTGCTGTATCTGCTCCAGAGAGAAATATGATCTTTCCGATTCTCAACTCATCCATTTAGTTATTTCAGGAAGAACGTGAGGTCATATTGTACAAATACTGAGTCTAGCAGGTGGCTCAATAGGTACCAAAAAAAACCCCAAGTTCAGAAACAAACTTTAATTTCAATTTCCAAGCAGCAGAACAAACATTAACAGTTTGCAAATCTTTTGTGGTAACAGGTTATTTTACAGGGCATATCTCTATACTAATTCCCAAGATTGAAAGGATAAAAATATTGTAAATAATACTGGTATTTTAAAAATAATAGAGAAAAATAATATGGCATAAAATAAGGCACTGGGTATATTGCTCTGCCAGCACAATAATTCATAGTGCAACTGACATGGCAGTACTAATGCTATGGGCGATGATAATACTAATATTACTAATTAAGTGATCTTTGAAGATTACCTCTACAGATTTACTCAGTGAGGTTCTAGCAAACATCTAACAAAACATCTGCAGATGTTCTCTTACTCATACCTTTATTCTGATATAAAGAAAGCAAAAAAAAGTGAAGTGCATTTTCGGTCTCTTTCAATAAATAATGTGGACCGAGAAAAGGAGGCATCCCTGGAATCAGGATCTGTTTTCAAAGATGTTGTGAAATAAAAAGTTTCCCTAGTGAAAGGGATGTGTGGATTTACCCCCTAGCTAGCCTCATTGCTCTGAAGATTTTTTTTTTCAGTCTTATCCTAGAGAGAAATAAATCACAGGACTGGGATGGTAACCATGACAGTAAGGTGAAAGCTTAATGGAATCTCTGAATGTCTGGTTCACACTAAAAGCAAGAAAGCAGCAAATGAATCCTTCAGTTCCCTCCAGACCATTTGGAACAGACACTTGCCCCCTCTGATTATCTGTCCCCATGGCAGTGACAGTCTTGAAAACAGAAGTGACTCTATTTGAGCCATAATTCATTAAATGTTTTCTATCATTACAAGGAAAAAGAGGCAATTCTGAAACAACATAAACACAAATTGTATTATGGGCATATTTTTAATTGTGCCCCTCTTAGCATTAAAGGGCCACTAACTCTGGTATAAACATATAACTTAACTAATTAAACAACAAATTTAAAACTTTTCTAGAAAAAAAATATTAACTCATTGCCCTTCAAAGCTGAATCACAACTAATATTACAATGATCTATTCAAGCTCACTTAAAACATATGAAAGACTCAACTCCTGAGAACAGAAAGCTGCTGACAGTGCTGTCTTGTACCATCCAACAAAACACAGTTTGCTCCCCTCTAGTCATAAGAATCACTTTGCTCTTAGGAAGAGAGCCAAAAGCTCAGAATCCTAGCAGGCAAGAGAGGATAAAAGAAAAAAAAAAAAAAAGAAAAAATACCTTCTCCTCTAAATTAGTACAAAGTTTTTTATTATTATTATTATTGAGGGATTATAGAAATGTGTTCTGATACAATAGTTTTGTTACAACACATTCTGTTGTGCCAAGAGAAGTACTTCTTTTACTCCTGGGGAAAAAAAAAAAAAAAACAAACCAAAACTAACAAATAAAATGAAGTGGAAAATTAGTTCCAATGACATTACTTCTAAAGAGGTTGAGAACTTAAACTCCTGAAGTAAATAGGGCAACACAAAATACAAGTACAAACCTGGCATGTCCATGTGTTACACACCTCCACAGAAAGCAGATACTTATATCTATTTTTACAACCTTTTCTCATAGTAAAAAATGCAAAAAAGTAACTAAGATTTGCTGCCAAAAGAAAGAACAAAAAATTTGAATGGCATTCAAAACCATTAAAACCTGT